CTTCTCTCATGGGGGCCGCTTGCCAAATTTCATACTATAAAATAAAATTTAACTGTATCAGGTATGGCACTACAGATGCTTCCCTATTTATAATGGTCTGGTCCTCTAGCAACTTCAGCGCAAAATTATAGCTAATCTGCCTACAAACGTCAGGTGGTCATAATAATCTGGCCACTCAGTGTGTGTATATATATATATATATATTACAACCCCAGTCAGTGCCCCCCACACACACACCCTATGTATCTACCTAAAGTGACTTCAAAGTTTCATAGATCACAACAAATTACTTTACCTTCTTTTTGCAAGGACCCTAAAAATCAGGGGGAGCTGGTCGTTCGTACTTTAGATGTCAAAAGTTGTCTTATTAGTTACCTGGAAGTTTCCAAGAATTTTAGAAAGACCAGTCAACTTTTATTTGGAGGAACAAAAAAAGGGCTATTTGGCTTCCCGTTCCACTATTGTAAGTGGATTAGACAAACTATTCTATTTGTATTTAAGAATGAAGGATTAGAAGTCCCTAAATCCATTAAGGCACATTCGACCCGATCTTTGGCTACTTCATGGGCATAGAGAGCGGACGCTTCAGTGGAGCAGATCTGCAGAGCTGAGGTTTGGTCAACTCAGGACACCTTTGTGAAACACTACAGGGTGGAGGTCCTGTCGCAGCAAGATCCAGTCTTCGGCAGGAAGGTTCTGCAGTCTTTTGCCCCGCCCTAAGGTAGGGCCTGATGGTTTACTTGGTTATTCTCTTATTCTCTAAAAGTGAAGATAATAGAGATTATCCAGAGAAAACAAACAACTGCACAAGGATGATAACCAAGTACGGCTCAGGATGGGAGAAACTACGGTCAATTCTGACTAAACACTGGCATATCCTGTTGCTATGCCCAACTATATCCAAAATAGTAGGACCAAGACCCCTCTTAACAGCGCGGAGATCTCCAAATCTCAAAGACACACTGATGAGCTCGGAATACAGACCCAGGAATATATCCCAAATCTCCACAAAACCAAAGGGAATGTTCCCATGTGGGAGATGTCGAATTTGCCCCATGGTGGATAAGACGGACACTTTCCAGAATACAGAAGGGACAAAACTGTATAAAATAAACAACTTCATCAATTGTAACACTGAAAGAGTGATATACCAAATTAAATGCCCGTGCCACAAATATTACATTGGAAAAACCAAAAGGCAATTACGAACTAGAATTGGAGAACATCTTAACGACATCAAGAAAAAAGAAAGTCCGCTAGCCATTCACTTAGTTTCTTAAAGGGAGATTCCTTTAATTTTTTATAAGTATGTGTGTCATTGAGTAGTCTTTTGACTTCCGTTACATACATCTTTTCAGGGAGTAGGACCACATTGCCCCCTTTATCGCTATTTTTAATTATTATATTTTGGGCCATTTTTTATTCTTTCAGTGCTTTTCTCTCTATTTTAGATAGATTGTCTGTTTGTTGGCCAATCTATTTGTTTCAGGTCCTTATGGACTAGTTCCTTGAATAATGTTAGATGTCGATTGTTTGAGACATTGGGCATTGTTCTTGATCTTTTCTTGAGTGATGTTAATCTTCTTGTATCTTCCCTATCATCTTCTTCATCGATTTCTAAGTTTTCTTCCAACAGGGCTTCTAGATCTCTTAGAGCCTGAGCATCAAGGGAATCTTCGTTGTTTTTGTTTCTATAGTCTAATCCCGTGTGTTCTCTTTTGTTTTCATGAATGAATCTCAAATATATATTCCCCATGAAAAGATTGAGGTCCTTAAAAATCACAAATTCATCCATGCCGTCTACAGGTGAAAAGGACAAACCTTTTTGTAAGAGACTTGTGTGATGTTCGTTCAGAGCGAAATCTGTTAGATTTATAATGTTCTTAGTTTGACCTTCTCCTTGTGTGGGGCATGGGGTCAGTATCTCTGACTTCTCGTTTTCATTATCATTTTGTTTGGATTTGGGGTATTCTCGTTTGTTATGTGTTCTCTTTCGGGGGCCTCCTGTTCTTTCTGTATTTCTTGGTCCTCTGTGTTGTCCATCCTCTCGCATCTCTAAAAAACTGACCGATCTGGTTGTATAATCATTTTCACTTTCACCTGTTGTCCATCTCTCTCTGCTTCTATGTGGTTTTCTTCTTTGTATACTTCTTCCTCTCTTTTGACTGACATCAAAGGGGTCCCCTCTCTCCCAGTCTTCGACATCTCTTTGGAATTTTGCTTGTTTAGTTTGCCTCAGGTTCCTTTGAATCCTCTCGACTTCCCTTCGTAAAGTGTCATTAGATTTTTTAAACATTTCCTTTTCTTTGAACGGTTCCAGACTTTTAGCACTATCTTCTATTTCTGCTTCTAGATCTTGCATTTGGATTTTCTCCTCTTCCACGATCAGTTTTAGAGTCATTAAGCCGTATTCAAGATTCATTTTTTTCCATTTCTCCAGAAAACGATAATTGAGTAGATGTTCTGCAGGAATAATGCGTGGTCACCGATATCTTAGCTGCAAAAATCGGAGAGTAATTAGACTAAACTTTTGGGGACCAATACTTATCTTGGGTAGGGCATCCAAGAGTCATAGGGAGACAAAGATGTAGGTCAATATGACTATGAGGGTTGTGAACCACAGAGAAGTAAAGTCCTTCACAGTCGGATGGAAAACTCTTCAAAGGTCCATCAGCCGCAGGTGAGACAACCTATGTCGATCTTTATTCATTTCAGGTTTCCAGAGTCTGAACTTGCCGGAGGAGATATCAGTAAAGGGGTTAAAGGGGAAGTTGAAGTCACCCCTAGGATCAATTGTCCTTCCATGAAGTTCTCCAGAAGATTAAGATAGCTCAGGCAATGGGACATTTGCACTGAGTTAGGTAAAGAGAAGTTAGCTACAGGGAACATACTATTTAGACAGGAGAATTTTATAAAAATATATATACCAAAAAGGTCTGTTTGGACCTCCCATGCCCCCCCCCCCCCTCCCCATGTCAATACCCCTTTAGTTTTGCCATCCAGATCTGTGCTAACGTTCCACATACTGTATTACTTACTGCTACAACCTGAGAATTTACCCGTAATAGTATTTTAATATTTTGTTTGTGGAGATAGTGAAATACTTGAGACCTCTTGGAAGGGTGGTTGAAGCCCATGACATTCAGGAAACATAGGGTTAATAATGCCATGGCAAAAGTACCGTTAGATCAATTTGACTTAGGAGAAGGGCGGATGATAAAGTGTTGGGGAGGAGGTAGGTGTAAGAGGGAAGGGACAGAGAGAGGTAAGAACAGCAAGGAAAACCATAATGAGACAAAGAGAAGATTTAGAGATGGTTGTTAGAGGGACAAAGAAGAAAGACCAAGTACAAGGAGGAAGAGGAAAACTTGTCAGCTAGGTAAAAGTCAGGAAAAAGATAGAATGGAAAAGTGGACAGGAACATGTGTCAGATTTTCGCACTTGAGCTCCTCTCTTGCAAAGCAGTTATAGCAAAGATGTACAGGGTGGTAAGCACCTACAGTATATGAGTACATTAGGAGTGAACAGCACCTCAGCATAAGGATTTCCCATGTATGGTTCCATCCAGTGCTCAATACATCTGTGTACCTCAACTGTGCCATTTGTGGTAACTAGTGTTGCTGCTATGTTTAGCATGCTGATTTGAACTTTAGAGCTTGCAAAAGTTCAACAAAATCATAAAGTTCACCTGTTTTCTCCACTGTATGCAGTACTCTATAGATTCACCTCTAGGAAAAGACATAATATGTTACTAATTTTATATGTCCTATGTACATGCTTTAAAGGTGGTCAGTGGAGTATACTATCAGCGTGTGCATTATGGACTGGCTCTTGATATTCAGAAATTCTTATCTGTTTGCTTTCTTATCAGTTTGACATTTGTCAACACATAATGCTCTGTCAGCCAGTTAAACTGACTGCCATAGTGAGCTCTCTCAATACACTGTAATCTGTCAGTGCTTTTTTTCTGCACAGCTCTAGCTTTTAACAATTAACTTGAGGTATTGCTACTATATTTATGCATGCTGTCATAGCTATGCCCACATGTCGAGATCCTTATTGATGGTTGTAGTACTCTAGCTGTGAGAATGACAATGTGTCATACCATGTTAAAATGTCATACCATTTTATCTGATATGGGGATGTGTCTTTTTGATGGGGTTGTATACTCATGAACTCTGTGGTGTGCATCAATATAAGCTTATTTATTACATATATTTTCCCTTATTTCACATCTCACTTTTTTATGAGTCCTAATGGTGTAAAGCTTAATGTGTGCAAGAACCCTCTAGTGCTGCTGATATGACACATGTGATTCTGCAAAGTAGAGTAGAAGGGGGAAGTGCAACAAACAGGAGAGCAAAGAATAAAATGGCACATACTTGCTTTGGATGTTAAGCTTAAAGTGACATTAAACCCTCAGATTTTTTAACATAAACCAATACTGTAATGTGTGCCTTACTGTAATCCATGGTTGTTTCCCTTCTCTTTGCTGCTCTTCCTTTTAAATCCTCATGTCTTCTCATGCTTGGGGAGAACTTCCCTTTTCTGCTCAGGGCCTCTTCCTGTAGTGCTGGCTCAGGTTACAAGCCTATAGAAACGTATACACAGACACCGTGTATCCATTCCTGAGACAAGGCAGTCTGCTGCAAAACAGAAGTTCTGCAGAGCATGAGAACAGATACAGATTTAAAAGGAAGAGCAGCAAAGAGAAGGGAAACAACCATGGATTACAGTAAGGCACACATTACAGTATTGTTTTATGTTAAAAAATCTGAGGGTTTAATGTCACTTTAATGGATGTGGTTGCCTCTGTAGTAAAATAAAAATAATATAAACAGCGGGGCAGTTGTTCCTGTAAGACAAGAATGTGAGAGTGACACTAAGTTGACTCCTCTTGAGAAGAAACCAAATCATTTATGTTGGGAATCACGTATGTTATGTCTTTGTCCGGTTGGTTTTGTTTTTTAATACTCACTGCTAATTTTAATTTTGAACAGGTGTAAGAAGATTATAGATCCTATTTATCAGCCTTGGGAGGAGTCCAATGTTGAAGAATTTAAAAGCCCTAGGAAGCAGGTTAAGGTGGTTTGTTGAATGTATCATAGTAATGTATTATGTAATTACCAGAAAATGGTCTTAAAGTGTATTTCCACTTGTGCAATCAAATTTAAGAAAACCCATGTTGTATGTTCCCATTCACACAACATACCTTAAAATAATGTTAAAAAAAGCATATTTATCACATTTTAGTTGTCTTTATTGAGCAGGCCTTGGACAGACTGCATGCCTTACTATACACTTTAAAGTGACAGGATACTCTGACTGTCCCCATAGATAGACTAGGGACACTCTGAGCTTCCTCTCATTAACATACAATGCTTTTAGATCTTCATCCCTTTGTTAGGACAGACAGAGCGGAGGGGAAGGTTAGGGTGATACTTTGAGACCAGGTTTGAGATATAGCCAGGGGCAGAGTTGTGGATGGCTTTGTAAGTGGTTGTTAATATTTTTTATTTTATCCTTTCGGCTTTTGGAAGTCAGTGTAGGGATTGACAGAGGGGGGTTGCAGACACTGAGCGGTTGGTTAGGTGAATGAGTCTAGAAGCTGCATTCATGATAGACTGAAGGGGCAATAGCCTGTGTAGAGGTAGGCCAATGAGGAGGGAGTTGCAATAGTCAAGACGAGATATAACAAGTGAGTGGATGAGTAATTTTGCGGTTTCATTGGGGAGGAAGGGGCGTATTTTGGAGATGTTCCGAAGGTGAAGGCAGCAGGACCAGCACATGCTTTAGAGGGGAGGGAAAGATGCCAGTAGAGAAAGATTGGAAATGTGAGTAAGAGAGTGTAGGATAGAGTAAGAGGGTGACCGAAGTAGTGGTGAGGGAACAGGGTCCGGGGGGCAAGTGGTGAGGTGGGTGTCAGTGAGAAGCTTTGTAACCTCCTCTGTGGTGACAGGGTCAAAAGAGGAGAGTAACAAGTGTGATGGTGGGTCTGGTACATGAATAGGGGAAGGTGACTGCACAGTGGCAATCTGATCCCGAATTGCATCTATTTTGTTTTTTAAATGAATGGCAATGTCCTGGGCAGTAAGTGAGTTAGTGGGTGGTGGCGGTGGGGGGCATAGCAGAGAGTTAAAAGTAGAAAAAAGTTGACGAGGTCTGGATGAGAGTGTGTTAATGAGAGTGACAAAATAAGTGTGTTTGGCAGCACGGAGGAAGGAATTATATTTTAGGAGGGCAGCTTTATACAAGGTGAAGTCTTGCAGAAGCCTAGTTTTTCGCCACAGTGGTTCAAGAGCGCGGCTATGTCTTTTTACATGTCTGGTTTCTTTTGTTTGCCATGGTTGTAGTGGACGTGGTCTAAGTCTGCGTGTAGTGAGTAGAGCCAAAGTGTCTAGAGAGGATGAAAGTGTTGTAGAGAGGATGAAAGATGTAGACAGAAATAGCCAGGTGTCACACCTGTTATTGATTTGGGGGGTTTGTGGATCGCAACTGCGTAGGCTTCTCAGGCAGGAAACCCTGGTTTCACTCTCAAACTTAACGGAGAGTTAGGGGTTCTTGCCTCACAGCCTCAAATTAAATTATAAATGGTTCAGAGTGGGTTATTCCTACATGCGCCCTACCCTTAAGCACCAGTGTTGAGTTTGGAATTACTGAGTAGCAGGTCAGAGAGAGCACAAATGCAGTACAGGCTATAATCGAGTTCCCCAGCAAGAAGTAATGACCTTACAGATCGAAGTCCATAAATGCATACAGTCTTTATCAGAGTGTGCAACTGCACTGAATACTTGCGGTTTAAGTATTGGAGTTGATGGAAGGAGCTGGGGGTCCTTTGGGAGTGCGGTCCAGGGTGAGTGGCTGGCAGGCACAGGTTGGAGGCTATGGAGGGTCCCAGGAGACAGCAGGCGTTCTGGCTCAATAGTGGAACGCCATGCTGTCTCGTCGGATCGGCGCACTTCCGCGTCCCAAGGTGCAACACACCCGGCCTCTGAAACTGGAAGTGAAGAGCGTGCGCTCCACCGTGGAACGCAGCGGCGGATCCGAGGAGCGGCTGGCTGCTGAGGCTCGCGAACCTGGTAAGGTCAATGGCAGTGGCCGTTACATCAGGGCAGGACAGGGGTGAGATTTTGTCATAGAGGTAGTCGGTAGCAGAGAAGAGAAGGGTCGAGGTGGCAAAGGTTTCTCTGGGTGACAGTGTGCCGTGTAGGTTGATTCAGGGTTGGGGATAGGGCGAGGGTGAAACTGACAAGGTTGTGGTCTAAGAGCTCGAAAGGGGTTGTTGGAGAGGTTGCAAGGAGTGCATAGGTGAGAGAAAACAAGATCTAGTATGTTACCATCAGAGTGAGTAGGAGTGTATTGTATTAGATCAAAAGAAGAGGTTAAGTTAAAAAATTGAGTGGAAGCCAGGGTGTTAATGTTATTAACACCAAGAATGATAATGGGTGTTTCTGAGGAGAGAAAGTAGGGTAGCCAGGCAGAGAAGTCATCCAGAAAGCGAGATACCGGTCCATGTGGTCGGTATATAACAGCAATCCTCAGTGAAATTGGAGAGAATAGGCGAATACAGTGGGTTTCAAAAGAGGAGAGGGATAGAGAGGGAGGTGAAGGCAGAACTTGAAAAGTGCATTGTGGGGATAGAAGGATTCTCACTCCACCTCCTTTCCGTCCATTGGGTCTGGGTAAGTGCGTCCAATGTAGGCCACCTTGGGAGAGGGCAGCAGGGGAGGCAGAGTCGGATTTCTGAAGCCAGGTTTTAGTAACAGCTAGCATGTTAAAGGAATTGGAGATAAGAAGATCATGGACAGCAGTGAGTTTGTTACAGACAGAGCGGGCATTCCAGAGGGCACATGAGAAGGAAGGACCGGTTCTAGGAAGCAGGGGAATCGAAATCCAGGTGCGCGGATTGCAGCTGCTGCCAGAGAGGAGTCCCCTGAAGTCAGGAGAAGCAGAAGAGAGAAGGGAGATGACAGGGAGATTTATATGAGCGAACGTGCCCCAGTGTCTTGGAGGTAACCCTAGCGTGTATTCAGAATGAGCAGAAAGTGATGAGTGCAGTAACTAATGAATAACAGCTGCTGGGCACCTGAATTTTACTTAAGTCAAGTGCTGATGTATCTCTATAAAGGTGCACATACACCTTACAACCATCGCAAGACTTTTGTCTTGCGATGGTTGTAAGGTAAATTAAAAAACGAACGATCTGCCCATCTTGGACAGGCAGATCGTACTTCCTCAGGGGGGCGGGCTTCCGATGACTGCAATGCTGAACGGGCAGTGTGTGCTTGTGCACGCTGACCCACGCTGGCCCGTGCGGCATTTGTCTTACGAGCAGGCCACAAACCGTACGATTCTCTGCGGGTTTTCGAGCCTGCTCGTAAGACAAAAGACGTGCGACCGTACAGTAGAAACGGTCACACGCCTTTTATACACCTGCCGATTATCGTACGATCGCAAGATTTCCCGCGATTATCGTACGATAATCGGCAGGTGTATGGGCACCTTAAAGGTAAACTGAACCATGTGGGGGGCGGTGGTCTGCAGTGAGCTGCTGATGGGATCTTGGGTGCTTAAATAGTGTATCTGTTAGCCAAGGTGAAAAACTTGGTTGTAAGCTGGCTTCAGAGAGGATGATGGGAGGGAGCGATGGTCTGCAACTGGTGATGAGATCTGCCAGCACAGTACAAATTGGTTAATTATAACCACTCCAGCCCCCTTGCATTCAGATTAGAGAAAACTAGTAGTGTAAGAAAACAAGTAATATGTAAGCAGCATTTGTTTTATGCTTAAAAGTGAATGAGAACATGTAACACATACAATAGGTGTTATCCAAAATTGGCTGCAAAATTGGAAATGCACTTTAAGGTTACTTTAGCTTAATCTTTTGAATATGTTTTTTAAAGCAGTGCCCTCTGTCATGTGCTTCTTTTGGGTATTTCTTTAGTCTTTTTTTTTTTTTACCTAGGCTGTTATTAAATGCTTTTCAAACAGATTTTAAAATGATAAAAATGCTTGATAAAACATTGTTTTTCTTTAAAACTTTAGGGAAATTTTTACCATCTAACAAACTGGGTTTACCTAGATTTTTTGTTGATATTTAGAAAATAGTTAGAATTTTCTGCAATTGACACCTCAGGACACAGGTTTAACCTAATGGTGTTAAAATAAGAGGACCTCTCCCCTTTATTGTACTGTATATAATTGGTTGCCAAAGGCCATTTTATTATGGAACTTTTTGGCGGATTACCTTTTATAGACACTTGCAGAAACCAGGGTACAATGTTAAACAGTGGCACCATAATATGTCATATGTGTTTGGAAAACTTTAGGCCAGTAAAAAATTGACATCTGACACTAGCAAAATGGAGGAGCTAATTCTAAAACCAGTATATATGGTGGCTTAACCTTGTTGTCCAGGCATTGCAATACCGAGTTCCAGTAACACTGCTGTACATACCTTCTTTGAAACTTAGAAATCAGTTGTAAAAAAATAATAATTTGGGGTTTGATTATATACTAGAAGCAACAATAATGTTTCAGTAAGACTTAAATGGCTAGAAAGTGAATATATTTACATCTAACCATCTTCTATATATACAGCAGGCTACAATTACAGATGATGAAGATGATTTTCTCAAAGGAGAAAAGCCACGCAATGACAGTATTGTTGAAATGACGCCGGGTTCATATGACTCCTTCCTGAAGAGTCCAGTAAGTAGCATTGGCTCTCCTCCTGTCAAGTTTCTTCAGCGGCCCTTCTGAACATTCAAGACGTGTGCGCTAGAACAACCTGAGGCTGATAACTCAAAGGATGTGTTACCTTGGCAAGTCGGACACCAGCAGCTACAGGCTGTGCAGCACAACTTAATGCCATGAAAAGTGTTATGCATCTTTCCAGTCTATTGTGTGCTGGTTGAGGAAAGGCAGCTCAAGCCCATTGGATGAAATAATTCCCGTTAAGAAATTATTGTTCTAAAGTATTGAATAAAAGAAAAAGAAAGATTTGTCATCAATAACCTGTTTATCTAGTTTTGGACTTTTCATGTAAATTATTCCTCTAGTTGGGTAAATAATAGACTAAATAAACCATTAAACAATGTTTTGTAACCTTCATTAAAAATAACATTATATAATTATATGCATTTCTGTGGTAAATAATGTTAAATGAGAATCATGAAGTAGGTAATATATGACTGATTACACACAGAATGGGCCTGTTGTGGTGTACACATTAATGTAGCATTTTGGATCAATTTGGTCCACTCTAGAAGACAGGCATTTTTAAAGAGCAAGAGAACAAGTGGTTTCATTGCCAAAAATAACACTCAAGAAAAGTTGGAAACATTTAGAAAAATATGGCAGAATTAAAAAAGGTTGTGTGCAATCATACATGATGCTGGAAGTGTGCTACTTGTGCTCTGCTCCCCCTCGGCACTAATTGCTACTTAATCGGGTTCCAAATATCCAATTGTTATCAAGATCACTCTAACAACTCCCTGTGGTCATATTGATCCCTCTCCATGACTATACCGATCTCTGGATGGCAATAGGTTATGTTGTATATGTGTGTGTGTATATATATATATATATATATATATTTCCTGACACCTACATGGCAGCATACAATGGGTATGGCTCCGCCCCAGCCCAATCACAGGACCAGTTATACTATAAATTAAAGCCCACTTCCCAAGGCCACCATTCTTTTTTCTGTCCCCAATGCTCAAGCCGTGTCAGGGGTGTACGGCTGGGCCGTGAGTGGAACCCCTTGGCAGGGACAAAGAGTCTAAAAACGAGGTACAGAGGGAAAATCCAAAAGCATAGTCAGGTACAAGTCCAGGCCGTGGCAGGCAGCGAGGTTCAGAAGCGAGAAGGCAAGGCCGAAAGGTCGATAACGGGGGTTCAGGCAAGGCTTCAGGAAGCAACAGGTTTACGCACAGGGAGCTGGCGATCACACCATAGAGGTAGAATAACTCGGCAATCAGCCAAGGCTCTGCCTGGTTTAAATACACAGGGAAACTAAGGACCACCCCGGGTGGATGGCGTTTGCTGGGGACCTCCCCCAGCCTGGCTAGCACCTGAAAACACTAAGTGGCGCAGGCGTGCTACGTGTGCGCCCCCGTGCAAGCGCACGCAGCCTGTGTACCACGCGCGCCCACCGCACATGTGCACTAGCAGCGCCAGGCGTCCTGCCAGGAGGGGGAGAACCCCGTGCCCTGCTCCACCGCTGGCGAGCCTGGTAAGGAGCGGCACCTCTGGTTCCCTGACAAGCCAGTTATACTAAGAATATGTTTGAGTGGTTCCCCAGCGTTGTGAATGTTTAAAATGTAACTTATGGAATTGTTGCTTCATTGCAGGCCTATTCTGCCTGTTGTTCAGCAATCTTTTTCATGGTTCTATGTATACAGCATTGTGTTAGTGACAAGAGCCTGTGGTGCTATAACCCTGAGCACATGAGTAGAGTATGTGGCTTTCAGGTTTTCAGCATGGTTGTTAGCGCCTAGCAGGTTCTGACAGGTCTTGTGGAAAGTTTTCTTGGGCTTTGTACACAAATCCACACTGCGTCAAAATGTGCACTTTCAGCATCAAAATGTGCACAAAGCACAAAACAACTCCTTCCCGCTAAAAAGCACGTTTGTATCAAGCTCTTTGGTATAAGGAAATTGAAGCACTTCAATAGCGCCAGATAGAATCAGAACAGATGCTGCTTCAAGCTGGAATCTCGGTGTGTAAGTCCTCACTAGCAACGGGACTTTGTTAATTTATAGGCACAAAAGGGGTAACGCCCAGAGGGAGTTGGCTTTACAGCATTAGCCAATCAGCCTCACAATGATAACAGGAAAGGGAGGCCCCAACAACCTTCCATTTCCTCCATACACAATGACATAACAGGAAGTGACAACGGAAAAGAAGAGCACACCCACATGGATGAGCACAGCATGACTCATCCGTGCCACTTGTATGCACAGCGGCGATTTTGGCCAGCATGGACCTAATGTAATACTGGTCAGAGTGACCAGTATCTATTAAGATCATTCTATGTGTTCTGATAGGTTTGAGACTATGTGCGGGGACCTTGCTAATGCTATCGTCGATGTACGGTACCAGTACACCGAGGCAGATATCAATGTCTTCCCGAAAAGCAGATATGTATCCAAAAAGGGATAGCGCAGCCCTAACAGAAATATAATATGTATCTCGTTATGCGGACTTCGCTAATGTGTGTGGACGTTTGAAGGCAAGAAGCCCAGCTCATTGCACTTAATGCTCACAAACCGACAAAAACGCCCACACGCTGCGATCACGACACAGGGAGACATGATGACAATATTACAATACAGTAAAAACACATCCAAATAAAATGTCCACAACACAGGTGCTGTTTAATCATATCATTCTCTTCAGTTTATCTGTGATAGCAAAGGTTGAAGCATGTGTTCAATTACCTAACCTCCTTACCCAGGAGATCAGCTACATTCTATAAGGTGAGGGTCAGGTAGGTATGAAGCACGGTAATGTATTCGTGTCTCATCACAGGGTCTATCCAGGAGTCTTGTCCATGGTTAAATTTGGTTCTGAATGTGTTTACCAGTGGTACAAATAAATAAATATCTCAGAATTAACCTCCCTGGTTGTGTGATCGCTATATCCCATTGTATGCTACCATGTAGGTGTCAGTAAAACAGAAAATGGTATACTTATCGGTAATTTTCCTTTCCTGACGCCAATACAATGCAGCATACAGGACCCTCCCATGGCTCTCGCATTAAGTACTTGTTATGAGAATGATGGCTTTGGGAGACGGGCGTTAATTTATAGTATAACTGGTCCTGTGATTGGGCTGGGGGCGGAGCCATACCCATTGTATGCTGCCATGTTTTGGAGCCAGGAAAGGAAAATTACCGATAGGTAAGTATACAATTTTCCGTTATATATATATATCGATATTTGGGGGACTTAGCACAATGGTAAGCGTGCAGGGATCAGTCTTAAAGCCATTTTCAGTTAAGCAGGAACAGTCTTTATTTATCCCAAAGGCAGACAATCAAGAAAATCCAACAAAAATAGCTGGTCTTCAGCATGTAACAAAATAAAATTTGCTTATCTTCAACATACAAAATAAAGTCTCACTGACTTAAGTCTTGCTCACAGGTACACCACCAGAACTTTTTTAGTAACTTCTTACAGAACAAACAGTTCTTAGCAATGCCCAGTATAAACCAGCAGCTCACACAGCTTTGTTTGCACACCTGTGCTACTCCAACTCCCTCCCAGGTTCTGTGGAGTTTTCCTGTCTTTTCTAGCTACTTCCTCTCGCCTGCCTTTAACCCTCTGAGGGGGCACATACCAGCCTTCCAGGACCCATCACTGGCATTCTGTACAATATATATATATACACACACACTATATTACCAAAAGTATTGGGACACCTGCGTGTGCACATGAACTTTACTCTTAGTCCATAGGGTTCAATATAGGGTTGGCCCACCCTTATAGTTATAACAGCTTCAACTCTTCTGGGAAGGCTGTCCACAAGGTCTAGGAGTGTGTCTATGGTAATGTTTGACCAGTCTTCCAGAAGCGCAGTTGTGAGGTCAGGTACTGATGTTGGACGAGAATGCCAGGCTCGCAGTCTCCGCTCTAATTCCTCCCAAAGTTGTTCTATCGGGTTGAGGTCAGGACTCTGAGCAGGCCAGTCACGTTCCTCCACCCCAAACTTGCTCATCCATGTCTTTATGGACCTTGCCTTGTGCACTGGTGTACAGTCATGTTAAAACAGGAAGGGGCCATCCCCAAACTGTTCCCACAAAGTTGGGAGCAAGAATTTGTCCAAAATGTCTTGGTATGCTGATGCCTTAAGAGTTCCCCTCACTGGAACTAAGGGACCAAGCCCAACCCCAGAAAAACAACCCCACACCATAATCCCCCCTCCACCAAACTTTACACTTGGCACAATGCAGTCATGCAAGTACCGTTCTCCTGGCAACCGCCAAACCCAGACACATCCATCAGATTGCCAGACAGAGAAGCGTGATTCATCACTCCAGAGAACACGTCCCCACTTCTCTAGTGGCGGCGTGCTTTACACCACTACATCCGACGCTTTGCATTGCACTTGGTGATGTAAGGCTTGGAGGCAGCTGCTCGGCCATGGAAACCCATTCCGTGAAACTCTCTACACACTGTTGTGCCAATCTGAAGGCCACACAAAGTTTGGAGATCTGTAGCTATTGACTCTGCAGACAGTTGGTGACTTCTGTGCACTTCACCATGCGCTGACCCAACTCTGTCATTTTACGTGGCCTACCACTTCGAGGCTGAGTTGCTGTTGTTCCCAGTTGCTTCCACTTTGTTATAATACCACTAACAGTTGACTGTGGAATATTTAGTAGCAAGGAATTTCACTGAACACCTGAATCCAATGATTTGGAGGGGTGTCCCAATACTTTTGGTAATAGTGTATATTTGTGGTCCCAGCCTGGCCACGACATGTGTGACTCCCTATGCCTCATGGCCTGAAGTGTGCTTTTGGCAAAGGCTCGAGCCAACTCTTCATGTGGGTCCGGAATATACCTGACATAGCAGTCAGAACTCCATCGTCCCATGTGTTTAATCACGTGTGCTGGTACTCCCTGTTTAGAAGCTGCAGAGGCTGCCCCTATGCGGAAGGAATGTCCAGGAAAATGTGCTGGATCCAACCCCATGTTGGCTAACAAAATGCGAACATGCTTGATGAATTGATTAGTGGAAAGAGGGCCTATGGTAAAAGGC